GATAATAGTTGGCCATGGAAAAACTATTTCACTCCAAATGTGTAAATAATAATCAATAAGAGTTTTGTGAACTGTAAAATAGATGAAAAAAATATATAAAATTATAAAGATTTAAAAAATACGATACGGTAAAAGCATTGAACAAATATTCGAGCGCCTCAGAACAAAATTATTACATATTTTTAAAAAATCCAAAAATAGGAAAAACAAATGTGTCAACAGTCAACACAATTAGAAAAAACATTTTTTTGATGATCTAATGGAGGTAGAATAACTTTTGACATCGACGGAATTTGGGTATTTGAATAGCCATATCGTCATTTTTGTGTCATATAAAATATATTTTATTGAAGAATTAAAGCGGCTTTTTTTACAACACTCTGTGTATCACTAGAAGTTGCAATGGTAATGTTAGCTTGTTTAAAAACAAAGAAATGTTATTAGTCGCCAATAAGTTGATTTACAATTTATTTTGCATCTTTTTCATCACTTAGTACTTAGAAAACTCTTTCATTAGTGACACTGGTTGAATATAATATACCAGGTGAATAAAAAGTATGGAACCTAAGGTTTTTTGCTTAAACTATTTATTTTTTGAAAAAACTAATTGATGAGTGCTAAAGTACTATAAAAATGTGATGATTTAACAAGAATAAAATTTTTCGAAATTTCCTTTTATTTTTGAGTTCTACAAAAAAAATATTTTTTTTAAATGGCAACTCACTATAAAATCATTTTTCTCGTAAAAGCTATACTCAAAGGATTACAACTATCTGCTTTATTTTTAATTTTTTCAAAAAATTTTTTTCACATAAATTGCAATTTTGACAAAAAAAAATCGCATAACTCAAAAACAAAACAAAATTTCGTTCTGAAATTACGATCACATTTTTTATATCACTTTAATTTATATTAATTATTATTTTCCGGAGGCAAATGATTAAAAATAAAACCGCTTGGTTCCATAATTTATATTCACCCTGTAGTTTAAATCCTTTTGGTTGAAGATGCAACATTTTTTCATGGCCTACTGCGAACAAAAATCAAAGATAATTTTTTGCTAAAAATGTATTATAATAATTTGTTACAAATATATATTTTTTAGATAAGAAAAAAACAAACTTTTTAAAAATGACATAGCCATCTATGATTCCCATTTAAAAAAATACAAGTTTATTTTATTACGGCTAAACAAACAACTGAAAAAAAATGTTAACTACATTATTAAATTCTACGTAAAAAAGTGCCTCTATAATGTCTTTATTTCAAATCTGTGTCTTCTATAATAAGAAGATATGAATTTTTTTAGATTTCGCTAAAATGTCAATTTTTGTCTATAAGTCGAAAACAAAAGACGATAGTGGGATGCGGTTTTAACCAATATTATTTTCTCAAAAAATGAGCCCCTCGATTTTGGCTAAACCTCTTAGTTTCGGAGATTTCCTATTCGGACATTTAAAATGCAGCACCCTGTACATAATTCTCCGAATTATGTAGGTTTACGGATTTTTAATAAATTACCCATCAATATGAAAAATATAAAGACAATTTATAATTTTAAATATAAACTAAAGGAACTTTTACTAACGCACTGTTTTTATTCATTGGAGCAATTTTTAGACTGTAAATTTTAATTTGTATTGTTTAAATTTATGTTTCTTTTTTTGTATGACAATTCCTATTTAATGTATTTTATTATCATGGGAAATAAAGTTTATTATTATTATTATTATTACTATTTTCAGAACCACCTCCTGGGGAGGGCCTACTTTTGCCTCCTTGAAGGCGACAAAATGGAGCAAGCCGATGCCCAATTCAACTTCGTCTTGAACCAATCCCCCAACAACATACCCTCATTATTGGGGAAGGCATGCATTGCGTACAACAAAAAGGACTTTCGGGGGGCTCTAGCCTTCTACAAAAAGGCCCTAAGGACGAACCCAAACTGTCCTGCTGCAGTCCGACTCGGTAAATCACCCCACAATTAAAATTTCTCACTCAATTAATCCCCCAGGAATGGGGCACTGTTTCATGAAGCTCAACAACCAAGAAAAGGCCCGATTAGCCTTCGAGAGGGCCCTCCAACTCGACCCGCAATGTGTGGGGGCCCTTGTCGGGTTAGCCATACTGAAATTGAACCTCCAACAACCTGATTCGATCCGAAGTGGGGTTCAAATGTTGTCCAAAGCCTACACGATTGATTCTTCGAATCCCATGGTTTTGAACCATTTAGCCAATCATTTTTTTTTCAAAAAGGATTACAGTAAAGTGCAACATTTGGCACTTCATGCGTTTCATAATACGGAAAATGAGGCAATGAGGGCGGAAAGTTGTTATCAGTTGGCGAGGGCTTTTCATGTTCAGGGGGACTACGATCAGGCTTTTCAGTATTATTATCAAGCTACACAATTTGCCCCCACGGCGTTTGTTTTGCCCCATTTTGGGCTAGGGCAAATGTATATCTATCGAGGCGATGCAGAAAATGTAAGTTTTTGATTTTTTTTTTGGAAGTAAATTTGTTTTAAAGCACCAAAAAGGGGCTTTTTTATAACAGGCGACTAGTTTTATCTCGATTTTTACACTAAATTTGCCGGAAAAATGGAATGTTTAAAGCCTGACGTCGGGAGGGCCTTTAATTTCCTGATTATTGATTTCCTTATTTGTTTTTAATATTTTTTTTATTTCAAATAGTCGTTATAGTAGATTACATGCGAGATGGAAAATATGTCATTTAATGACATTACCTCCGAGGTTTGTATACTATTTATTTACAATTACATTTATTTAAAATTCAAATAATAAAATATCTCACTTTCTGTCAAAATTCATACAATAAATTACTTCCCGACCACGGGATTCTAAAAGATTAGTGGTTGTGAATAAAATATTTTTTCTGCCACCCTAACAGAAAGTATTCTAATTTTGGAGAGGAAAGTGACCAATTACCTCCCTCATCTGTCAAAATTACAATAAAAAAGTATGGAACCAAGTCTTTTTTACATAAACTAATTACTTAACGAAAAAATAATTAGTGCAGTGTAAAAAAAAATGTGATCGTATTTCAAAAATACAATTTTTAGAATTTTTTTTAGTTTAGCAAAAAGATTTTTATGTGACAAATTTTTTAATTAAAGATTATGAGTTAAAAATGACCTCTAGTGAAATGAAATTGCTTTTTAATGAGTACTTTTTTTAAAACAAATTCTTAAAAAAATAATTTGGAACACGACTTATTAAATTTATTAAACCTGGTGGTTAAAAGCAATTTTATTTACTAATTAGAGGTCATTTTTAGATCATAATCTTTAATTAAAAAAATTGGTGGGGTGTTGCCATTAAAAATTTTTGTTGCATTTTTCAAGCGTTTTAGCACGTTTTTCTGCTAGAAACACAATCATCTTGCAAAATTTGAAAAACAATCCAAAATTTAACAAAATAGGTCTAAAAGGGTGTTATTTTTGCTTTTTTTCAGTATTTAAGTAGGTTTTTGAGAAAAAACTTTTTTTTTGAAAAATCTCGTTTAAGAAAACTAAAAAATTACATTTTTTAGCTTGTTTTTGGTCGACAGAGTCTCATTTATATTTTGCAAATTCTTGTCCAAACACGCCAAAAAAATACAAAAAAAGTGATATTAATATTTTTTGTAGTTTACTTGATTCAACTGGTTTTTAGTCACAATTAAGACAAAAATAAGCCTGAAAACTACAAAATTTGTAATTTTTTTAATTTTTATTTTTTTGGAACTAAACTCGTTTTAAAGCATCAAACACGGGCTTTAATAATTCTTAGGCTTTTTTTTATAACAGGCGACGGGTTTTATCTCGATTTTTACACCAAATTTGTCGCAAAAATGGAATGTTTAAAGCCCGACGTCGGGAGGGCTTTTAAAACCTGATTATTGATTTCCTTATTTGTTCTTAATATTTTTTTATTTTAAATAGTCGTTATAGTAGATTACATTCGAGGTGGAAAATGTGTCATTTACTGACATTACCTCCGAGGTTTGTTACTATTTATTTACAATCAAATTTATTTAAAATTCAAATAATAAAATATCTCACTTTCTGTCAAAATTCATACAATAAATTACTTCCCCACCACGGGATTTAATATTGTTTCCCGACCTCGAAAAGATTAACGGTTATGAATCATAGTAGATGGAAAATACGTCATTTAATGACATTTTCTCCGGAGTTTGTATACTATTTATTTACAATCACGATTATTTAAATAATTTAAGTAATAAAATATCTCACTTTCTGTCAAAATTCATACATTGACATAAATTATTTCCCGACCACGGGATTTAATGTTGTTTCCCGTGGTTATGAATAACATATTTTTTCTGCGACCCTAACAGAAAATACTCTAATTATTGAGAGGAAAGTGGCCAATTTCCTCCCTCATCTGTCAAAATTGCAATAAAAATATACCGGGTGAATAAAAAGTATGGTCTTTTTTGCATAAACTAATTACTTATCGAAAAAATAATTAGTGCAGTGCAAAGTACTATAAAAATGTGATCGTTTTTGAAAAATACAATTTTTAGAATTTTTTTACTTTTCGAGTTTAGCAAAAAAAATTTTATGACAAATTTTTTAATTAAAGATTATGAGTTAAAAATGATCTCTACTGAAATGAAATT